CTTCGATCAGTGAGCTTCTTATGTTCTTGCTGTGCTGCTTGGTTGCTATGTCCTGTTCTAGGTTAGCTTTCTGCATCTGGAGTTGGGCTTCGGTGATTTGTTCGTCTTCTGAGTTTTCTTCGATTTAGCCATCTTCCGGATTTCGGGGTGGGTTTTGCTCTTCTAAGATGGCTGGGAGTGCTGAGGCAGAAGCTTCGGGCAAGAAATGAAGGTTCTTTGCTTCTTGCCGCGGGAAGCATGCATTCGTGATTCCTTCTACTTACTTTTGCTAAAGTTGCAATGAGGTTCTCTGTTTGAGAAAAGTGTCTTGGACCATCAGATCCAAGTTGCATCTGAAAAAGGATTAGTAAATTGAACTCAATATGTAAAAGAGTTACAATTATGCTCGAGTAACACATCAAGAGGTATTGCCAGACCTAAAATATTGTGAAAGATTCATTCTAGAATCAAACATTATATGTTCAAGGCCTTAGTGAACTAAGTTTTAAGCATAAGTGCTCAACAAATAAGCATTAAGTATAAGACATAAGTGTTGAGCACCATATATCTCTAATGTTTTGGTGCTCATTATATATGTATTAAGTACTAAGATATAAATGCTGAGCATCATATTTACTTTAAGCCTCCGGATGTTGCTGGCAAAAAGATTAAGTGTCATCCTACTATTCAGAGGCAAATTAGGATTCTAGAAACATAATTGTTTTTTTTTTGGGCGCGCGCAATAAGGATATATGAAAAACAAATTGCACTCTAGGACAATTATGACCCTGTCTCTCCACAAGTCTAAGATAGGTCCATTTTTCGGATGAAATGATGCATTCTAGACAATTAGTTTAACAACACTTAATTGACTGTTGTGGTTACTGTCCAAGACTTTGAAGATTCAGGTAAGATCAGCCTAGTGCATACTTTGCTTTGTTTTATTAGTTTATGAACTGAACCCTATCCATCAACTTAGTCGCACCACATAACAATGGCCGATCTCTTTAACAGATGCTAAAGAACCATGCATTTTAACAAGTGACCATCAAACGGATGTTAAGGCTGTTGAGTGGAGACCAAATAGCGGGAAGATGATTGCAGTTGCCTGCAAGTGTGTACTACTACCACCTCTCCATTTAACTTGATTCAACCCTTGTTGTCTCTGAATAATTTGATGGCATACTTTACTTTTAGATTGAGTTCATCATTTTCTTTTCAGGGGAGGGATATGCCTCTGGTCGGCATCATATCCTGGCAATGTTCCGTTCATGAAACCTGGCATCACCTCTTCTTCCTCTAGTGCATTTCCTAGAGGTTCTGGTGGTCAGTGGATACTGGTGGATGTTCTTCGTGGCTCTTCTGCTGAGCTCGTTAGTGCACTTTGTTGGAAACCTGATGGGAGATATCCTTATAAGTTTTCATAGTAGCATCGGGTGAATGTTGCTGCTGCTTTTCATCTCTCTTTTTTTTTCTTGAACTCACAAGAGACCCATGTATCATTTCATTAACAAGAAAGAGAACCCAAATGTACAACACCACTCACTCGACACAGCGCAAACACCCAAACCCATTATGCACAACACAGGCATGCCATTGGAACAAATGGAAACCGACCTCATAACTGAGGCAGGAGGCCATAGAAAAGAGTTTAGAGGTCTTTAGCCCTGGCTTCTCACCGTATCTCTTGTTTTTAAACTGTAAAATAACTAAAATACAGTGTGGCTAACTGCAAAAAGTCCCCTTTTTTTTTGCCAAATTTACAGCACCATACATACAGGAATGTTTACAGTAGGTTTAATCATTATTTGTTGGAAATACCAACAGCTGAAGGCATTTTTTTCCTTGACTATTCTCCACATACTTGGCATCTGCCTCATGCAATAGTCCATCTTTCACAATTTGGGATGTGTCTCAAGGTACATGTACCGGTCTTTTTTCTCAATACAGGCAGTTAATCCCATTTGTACAGAATTGTTGACAATAATCTTGACACCTTTCTTTTGTTTCAGGGTTGGGAACTCCTATACGGCGTGGATTAAGCAATATATCATTAGTGCGGTGGTCACCCAGTGGAGATTACCTTCTAGCTGCTAAATTGTATAGTCAATTTTGAATTTTCATTTTCATTTTCATTTCTTGTCAATGATATTTCCAAAGATTTACAAAATTCATTTATTGCTAGTGATGGTACATTTCACTTCTGGGAGACGAACACATGGACTTCAGAACCCTGGTCTTCGTCTAACGGATATGTGTCTGTAAGTAATATCTTCACTATTCAGTCACAAATACCTGCTTTTGGAAAATATGACATCATTTTTTTTTGCATTGCAATTCTATATTTCTGTTATTATTGTCTTTACGCTGGAGCACATTTGCACAATACTCTTTAGTGAAGAAGTGAGCACAATACTCTTTTTTTTTCTCAAACAGTGAGCACGATACTGTGTTTGGCCACAGCACACCTAATGTGTCCACTGGCCCTGTATAAGTCATCGGGTTCCTGTCAGGGAGCAAATTGGGTTCTGCAGCAAACCATATATTGGATAATCCTAAAATTCTTCTTATTTTTGCTTATTTTTATTGGGTTCCTGTCAGGGGGCAAATTGGGACCCAGAAGGTCGTGTCGCATTGTTATCCTTTTCTAACTCGACGATACTTGGCTCAATTCACTTCTCATCTAAGCCACCATCCTTAGGTATATAAGGGCAACCATCCAAATATTATGTTGCTAAAGCTTGTTATATTTGTTGTCTGATAGTTTGTTTTATGCTTTTTATCTTCAGATGCCCACCTCCTACCAGTTGAACTTCCAGAAATTTCCTCCCTGATTGTTAGGTAGCAACAGAGGCATTACTGTGACATTTGATCTCATGCGCACTTTATACTACATAATTTTTTCCTCCTCTTGTATGCTAATTTTGGCTGTTGATTTTTCAAGTAACCCCATTCACAATTAATGAGTAATTTATTTCTGATGTAATTTTTGTGAAGGGAATCAGCTCAGAAGTCATTATTGATTTATAAAACATAGGACCATATGTTTGTAGGATTGTAAGGACTAAGGAAAGAAAGCTCACATCAAACAACAGAAGCCTAAAAACATTTAGTTTTCATAAAATTTTGTCTCAAAATCTGCTATTTGCCAACAAGCCCCTGCATTATTTCATTTAGTATAAACTTTGTATTTAGGAAGTTCTCTGCAGATTTTGTGGGGGGAAGACTTGCCTCGGTTTTTCCCTTCCCCAGACCCCACTCATGTGGGAGCCTCCGGCACTGGGTCTGCCCTTTATCCATTATAACAGCCTAAAAGGTTACTTCCATTCACTAATTTATGCTTTAACTACTTCATATAGCCGAGGCATAGAGAAATTAGCATGGGATGCTTCAGGGGAACGTCTGGCCAGGGTTCAAAATTTCAGCGAAATTTCGGCCGAATTTCACGAAATTCGGTAATTTCGGTGGTGGCCGAAAGAAAACTCCGAAATTTTTTAATACACTAATACATGTGCTATATAACTCTAATCTTATATTTTTCTATTGTTTATATTGCATATTCTTCTATTTAATAGATATGTAGTCATAAATCATACTAATATTTGTTTAGATCCAAATTTTTTTAGAAAAAACATACTTCATGTGCTAATCTCTAAAAAAATTTCGGCGAAATTTTGGCCGAATTTCGCGAAATTCAGTAATTTCGGTGGTGGCCGAAATTTTGGCGATACCGAAATTAAAAACCTTGCGTCTGGCATTGTCGTTCAAAGATGGAAATGAAATGTACCGTGGCCTGATTGCTGTATATGATGTGCGGAGATCTCCACTTATCTCACTATCACTAGTGTAAGAACAGAATCTTCTGATTTACTATGACCATTTTTTTACAGTAAAACTGTGTTCCAGTGACATTCCTTAATCATTAATTTGTTGAAATTCCTGTCTTCATATCTAGTGGATTCATTCGGGGACCTGGAGAAGGAGCAAAGCCACTCGCTTTTGCTTTTCATAGCAAATTTAAGCAAGGACCATTGCTTTCTGTGGTAAGATATCTTGGAATCCTGCACATATAGTTCTAATACAATGACATCCTTTTAGCTTCCTACTTTTTGTTCACACATGTGGTTCTGACTGCACATGCAGTGTTGGAGTAGTGGTTGGTGCTGTACATATCCACTGATACTTCGTTCTCATTGACTCCAATGTAAGTTTCCTCCAGCAGACTGAATCTTTCAGTTACCTCTGATTTGATATTTGTGTTGCCTGCTGTAGACAATCTAAATTTAGTTTTCTTTCATTGTCTAGTGTAGCACCTCACTGCTTCAGGACTGGATGTTTCAATTATTGTTGGTGCCTTGGAAGGCTGACGTTTCAGTGCGCCTAGGAGAAAAGCAAAGCATGAAGTGCATCCCATGTATGTAAACACTGTGACTTGAGAAATGATGCCTATTGGATGCATTCATCTCCAGATGTATTTGATTTGATCTGTATGTACACTTATGTTGATTTTTCCAGTTTTTCTTTTGTCCATACGCGGATAGTATTTGCAATGTCTGCGTCTGGAGTGTGTGCATAAGTTATCTTGGGCGTTTGTGGCAAAATTCTAGCAATGGGAGTTTCTCAAGTGCTTGAGCTGGTTCTGGCGAGCCACATCTGACGTCCCCAAGCAGAAATCTTGCACTTGCATCACATATGGATTCACCGTGCAGCCTAAAAGACCCAGCAGTCCAATCACCTATGCAGACAACTAAAGCATAACTGCAGATTCAGTTACAACGTCTACAGATTCATTTAAGTTTGATAGCCTTGAGAAACTAGAATTCAATTTGCTCAGGCAAAACCTGAGTAAAAAGAAAAGAAACCATCCTACCACCATTAACACTTATTCATCTGCAGAATCGTTTCAGTCTCAGAAGGATAGCATGAGCCCTGATAGGCAGATACAGAACACATATCGCTCCCCTAGTTTGTACGATTACACTTCATTTAGACAAGTATTTTGTAAACTTTGTTCTATAATATTACTTCACATCTCTGCCACACGTCCGTACTCCTCCAGAGCTAAGTCGAATGAAGTAAACGAGCAAGGAGCGAGCAAGGCCTTCTCCTGCATTAGGCAACCCTCTGGTAACCGGCACCACCTGCATATTTTTGCAAGTTCAAAGTTAGATGAGCCTGCTGCAACATGAGAATTGTGCGTTATTACATGTACATGACCAATTCCTGCAAATTGATTCAAGACATCGCCAAAGGACATGCCAGAGTGTAGGTGTGCAGTTCAAAGATCAGAAAAATGCGCATTGACATGCCATATTTCAGTTGACAGATTCAGAGCTTGTGTAAAAATGGTAGCAATAGGAAAAAAGCTTGTGAACAGAAGCCATCCTCTTACATTATGTGGGTTTCTGAACGAGTTTTCATGCTTCACATCGCTGGACGTCAGAACAGTGACTCTTGATCCCCTTGCATCGACAGCAGCTCGAAGTTGATGTGCACGTATTGTCAGGTTCACAGCATGAGGTCCAAAGTTTACGATCTGCAAACACAGTAATATTACAGGGATTTGGTCATTTCAAAGTTCTGATATTACAGTGGTTGTAAAATGAGTTGAAGCAACCACACACAGGCTACAGGGAGAAGGATAGTTTCCTCAAAAAAAACAGGGAGAAGGATCTGTTGGTTTTACCTTTACCCTCAGGAAGCTAATGTCAGTGTCCCCTCCAGGTAATTGCTGATGCTGCCAATGAATCGGAGTATCTGGATGTGATTTTAACTGGATGAAACTCAGCACCACTTGATTCACAGAAAAATGTCTGCATCCAGTAACTCGGAGTTCCGTACTGTTGCCACGAGTTGAAGACTATCGCGTCTGGGATCCATTTCCAGCTGATAAAAAAAGTTTCAGACATAATCACTGCACTTTCCTCCAAAATCAAGAAGGCTAGGGCGAACAAAAGCGTGAAGCTCAGCATTCACCAATTCTAACCCAGGTTGGTTGTTATTGACGAAGAGCGGCGCATAAGATGCCATCTGGACGATGTCACTGCAAAGAAGCATCACACAGAGCCCTCTCATTAACCCACAAGAAGAAATTATTTCTACCACTGTCAGTATCTATAAGGATATTTAAATATAGCTCCTCTTGTAATCTCTGGACATTATTAGGTCACCTGTTCTTTTCTACTCCTATGAGGAATGCAGCCTCTGCCAGTGAAGCAAGGAGGCTTCCGTTACCAGCATCCTTTAGTTCGTTAACTGCATATTCACTGACAAACACCTGAAATGTGAACATATCATAGTCAATTTACTCACTAAATCTGATGACCCGAATAAGAAAAAGAACTATGTCGAACGGTGCCTTTTGAGTCCTGATATAAACAGAGTTTATACTACTTGATAGTTAAACTCATCTGCACAAAAAATGGTGTCATCATTCGTGGGAAACTGCATCTGTCTACATGATAAGTGCAACAATACGTCTAATTCATTTCAATAAACAAAGATGTGTCAATTACAGAACATGATGGAAAACGATTATCTTATAAAGAATCAAAGAATCTTGATCCAAGAAAGGAAATACTCTAGAGAACATTTAATGGCATCTATTACCAAACTTCATATATAAACCATAAAGAGAAGAAGATACATACCTTAGGCCCTTTACGTGATGTCCTGTCAAACATACTTTTCATTTGGAAAACATAAGAAGCATTACTAAATCTGCAAAAAAAAAAAAAAAAAGGTGATATTTTTAAAACTGTCGATAAAATTACAGTAAGAAAACTCTGTTATAAAGTCAGAAGAAAAAAAAAAAAAAACTGGGGGACACGACAGAATCAGAAGCAGTAAAGCTTACATGGACATCATACAGATCTGCAGGATGGTGAAGTGGCTGAGATGAGCCATCGCAGTTTGAAATAATTTGAATGTCTGGATAGGCTTTTTTCTTATAGCTTTATAAAATTTGAGGTAGTTTCTGTAACAACACTAGATAGTATGGTAGTGTAGCGATATCGATTTAGAACTGTATAGGTGGAATCTGTTACAGCAATGGTGGAATCGGAAGTCGCCGGCGATCTCAAGCCGCAGCTCGCCGCCTATGCCGACGCCAACCAAGACGAGTTCAAGTTTTCTCTCTCCCTTTCTGTTATACTCCCTCGGTTACAGTTGTTCGACAGCATACTCCAGACGCAGCTGGGCTTGGATCGTTCTACGCTTTCCAGTCTGGGCCAATGACTCGAGTGTTGGGCTTCCTGGGCCTTTTGGTCTTAGTGCTTCCTTCGGGGGCTTTGACTCGTACTGTGACATCTCCCCCTTCATTGGCAACGGCTTGTCCCCAAGCCGTGAAATCAGGGAACAGACGGATCACTTCGTCTTCGTCTTCCCAAGTAGCCAACTCCGGTGGCCAACCAGACCACTTGATCAACAGTTGATAGTAGGTGCGGCGGGATTTGGTGCAAAGCCGACGATCCAGTGCAAGTTCTGGTGTCTGCTTAGACGAAGTGTCTAGAGCCAAAGGTGAAAATGAGACAGTGTTACCTTTTTCAGAAGAGAAACATGGAACACCGGATGAATGCTGGACTGGGGCGGCAATTTGAGTTTATAAGCAACAGTACCAACCTTTGCTTCCACTTCATAGGGCCCAAAGTAGCGATAAGAGAGCATATGACAGGTTCTGGAAGTCACAGAGGCTTGAGCATAGGGTTGGAGTTTCAGCCAAACCTTGTGTCACCAACCTCAAACTGACGTTCTGTACGATGCTTGTCAGCTTGGTTCTTCTGTCGTTGCTGAGCACGCAGGAGCTGCTGATGAAGCAATTCATTGACAGTTTGGCGTTGAAGGAGCCATTTATCCAGCTCAGGCACAATGCAGTCTTGATCAGGATCGATACCAAAATGCCTTGGGGAGTGACCATAAAGTACCTCAAACGGGGTATGCTGCAAGGATGAGTGGTAGCAGGTGTTATACCAGTATTCAGCTAAATGCAACCAATGAGACCACTGACTGGGGCAGGAGTGAATGAAACAGCGAAGAAATGCTTCAATGCATTGTTTGACTCGCTCGGTTTGGCCATCACTCTGTGGATGGTAGGCTGAACTCATGCTCAAATCAGTGCCAGACAGAGAAAACAGCTCCTTCCATAAAGTGCTAGTAAATATTTTGTCTCGGTCAGAAACAATGACCATAGGCATACCATGTAACTTATAGACTTGCTCCATGTAAATTTTGGCCACTTGAAGGGCTGAGAAAGGATGCTTCAGTTTGATGAAGTGAGCATACTTTGAAAATTTATCAACTACCACCGAAATGCAATTAAATTGAGCAGAATTTGGTAGACCTTCTATAAAGTCCATGGTGACCACTTTCCAGGCCTGATCAGGAACAGACAGAGGCTGTAATAGACCAGGATAAGGAACATGCTCAGATTTGGCCTGTTGGCATACAGAACAGGCATTGACAAAGGACTTTATGGAATCCTTCATGTGAGGCCAGTAAAACAACTTTCTAATCCTATGATAGGTGACCAGGAAACCTGAGTGTCCACCAATGGGGCTGGAATGAAGTTGTTCAGTAACTCTGTCCTGAAATGAAGTAGAGTGGCCTAACCACACTACCTGTTTGTACCTGATGATACCCTGATCCACTGTTTCGCCTAAACGGCCGTTTAGCCCGTTTAAACACCGTGTAAACGCTTACACGGTGGTGCGTCGTTCCGTTTAATCACCCGTTTACCCGTTTAATTTGCCGTTTAGCCCGTTTAATGGGACGTTTTGCCCGAATAATGGCTAAACGGTAGGTGACCGACTGTTTACCGTTTAGCGTTTAGGAAAACACTACCCTGATCCAAAGTATAATGACCATGAGTATTCTGCAAGGACAAGGCAGTCAAGAGTTGCTGAGCTTGAGGACTGTCTGTGTAGGCGTGCTGCAATGTTTCCAACCAAGTAGGTAAGGCAACAGAAAGAGCATTGAGAATGCCAGAGGAATGAGTAGCTCGAGACAAAGCATCTGCAGCACAATTAGTTTTGCCCTTCTTGTAGCAGATCTTATATTGATAGCCCATTAATTTAGTCATAGCTTTCTGCTGTCAATAGGAATGGAGCTGTTGATCTGCAAGGTGAATGAGACTTCTCTGGTCTGTATGAATTATGAACTCAGCAGGTTGCAAATAAGCCTTCCATTGCTCCACAGCTAACAATATAGCCAGGCTTTCTTTTTCATAAGTGGAAAGTCCTTGAGTTCTGGGACCCAAAGCCTTTCTTACAAAGGCAATGGGATGACCATCCTGCTGTAATATAGCTCCAATTCCATGGTCAGATGCATCAGTTTCAACTACAAATGGTTTACTGAAATCAGGGACTGCAAGGACAGGAGCAGTGATGAGGGCTTGTTTCAGCAACTGAAATGCAGTCTCTGTATTGTGTGTCCAAACAAACATAACCCCTTTCTTTAGAAGATCAGTCAATGGTCTAGCAAGCATTCCAAAATCTTTAACAAATCTTCTATAATATCCAGCAAGGCCCAAAAACTTCTGAGTTCTTTTACTGAAGTGGGTCTGGGCCAGTTCTGAACATCCACTATCTTAGATGGGTCAGTAGATACTCCATTAGGACTCAACACATGGCCTAAGTAGTTGAGTTGTTGCTGAGTAAAAGAGCACTTAGCTAACTTAACTTTGAACTGATGCTGTAACAGTAGCAGAAAGACTTGTTGAACATGTTCAATATGTTCCTCATAGGTTTTACTGTAGACGAGTATATCATCTATGAACACTAGAACACATTTTCTTGAATGCCCTGTAGTTGAATTTGTTGTCCTTGTTGAACAAAGCTCAACCACTTCTGTTTCCATTCTATTTGCACTGGACTGAAAGACAAGCCACTCCATTCCCAGTAATGCAGAGGAAGAATCTTGAAGGTTGTAGTGAATAATGTGCCTTGTAGAGACCAAGAACAATTCACAACTTCATGAGTACATTTGAGAGTAGCTCCATCAGCCACTTTGACAGTCATAGGATGGGCAAGTGGTGTCCAAGGTGTCAACTGGGAAGCTAACTGTTCACTGATGAAGTTATGTGAATTTCCAGGGTCGACTAAGATCACTGACTGAAAGTCGTAAATGGAGGCAGCAAATTTCAAAGCATGAGCAGCACAGGTACCTTTAAGAGCATGTTCCGACAGAGCCATTAACTCATCATCATCATCATCAGACTCTGTAGTTGTGGTGGAAATAGGTACTGGTTCAGCCAACATTTGCCAGACTTCTTCCACCAAATGCAGAGGTACAGTAGCTGCACACTTATGCTGGGGTCCCCATTTAGCTCCACACTTAAAACATAATCCTCTTGCTTTTCTATAGGTCATCAGGGCTGCTAGCTTCTCATCAGCCTTTGGGTGAGTTGGACGAAGCGAGATGATTCAGCAGGTGAAGAATCTGAAACAGCTGGCTTAACTGAATGACCACCAGAAGCTGATACAGATTGACTGAAACTGCGTTTGACAGCTTGAGAATGGTCCAACTTCTTATATTCACGAGAAGATTGACCCAGTAACACTTCCTCCTGCAAAATGGCAAGGGAACTAGCCGTATCTAGATCTTTGGGACGTTGTAACAAGACAGTAGACTTAATTACATCACTAAGGCCATAAATAAACTTGCTCGTGAGAAAAGCAGGATTAACAAGAGGGTCATGAGCAAGCTACTGATGCATCAGCTCATCAAACAGAGTAATATATTCGAGGACAGTGTCGGTCTGCTTGACATGAAAAAATTGACGGATGAAGTGATTGAATTGATCTCTGTCAAAACGGTGTACGACATTATGACAGAGAATATCCCCAGGACAATGACGCAAGTTAAGCTCAATGGTCTGCATCCAACAGGCTGCAGTGCCCGTGAAGTTGATGGTGCCCAATTTCACCCAATTTTCAGGGGTGATATAATACAGATCAAAATAAGATTCACATTGTTTGATCCAGAGTTTTGGATTGGAACCATTAAACTTTGGAAAATCAAGTTGAGGCAAGTTGTGACTGAAATTGTGATGACCACAGCAGGAATTGAAGTGATGCGAAGCATGACCATGAGGTGAGATTGGTGGTGTGGGGGGCTCACCTTTGACCGGAGGTGGTTCGAGGGTGACGCCGACCCCTGAACCCACCCTCCGGTGACAGTGTGCAACGCCGTGGCCACATGGCCCAAACGCCGCTTGCGAAGAGGACGCACCCTGATGAGTGGGTGCCGGCGTTTTGGTGAAGACAAATACAGCGTCGGAGAAGACGGGGGGCGCGGCAGGTGAGGCGGTCGTGGACTTGAGCTCGTCGATCTGGTGACACAGGGTGTCGACTTGTGGCCGCCAGCGCTCAAAATCGTCCTTCGCCGCCTTGAGATCTTCGATGGAGGCATGTACATCGGTGATCCGCCGATTCCCCTCGCTGATCCCCTTGGATTGCTCGTCGAGCTTCGAGAGGATGAGGGAGAGCTGATCTTCAACCTTCATGGCGACTTGGAGACGGGTGCGATGGTTGTGAGCCAGGATGCGAACGAGACAACCGATACTAGATGTAACAACACTAGATAGTATGGTAGTGTAGCGATATCGATTTAGAACTGTATAGGTGGAATCTGTTACAACAATGGTGGAATCGGAAGTCGCCGGCGATCTCGAGCCGCAGCTCGCCGCCTATGCCCCCTGATGGCACTGAAGTGGGCACATGACTTTATCAAACTGCCCCCCCGTGGGGTACAAGCTCTGCATTGTTTGCATCCGACAGGTGGAGGGCAGATCACCATGCATCTCGCGGTACCTCTTATTCTGCGTCGATCATAAGGGAGCTATATATAATTTGTGGCTGACCGTAGAGTAGCTTATTATACAGCCACGTAATTTACTAGCTAGCATGTTTGTACAGATTTATGTTGCTACTCTGAGCATATATATTTACCATGCATGTGTTAGGTAAGTTTACGATCACATGATAGCAAATTAATTACTTGTCAAGATATAGAAAATATTAGTGTTAGATGTTGTAAATTTTCAGACATTTTTGTAACTGGCCATATATAGAGTATAACTTCCCTATATTAGCTTCCATTAATTCTGAGCAACCCACCCGTTGAAATATTTAGCATGCATGGTCTCCAGCGTACATATACAAATTCTTGTAGTTACGAACTACACCCTCTGTTCCAAAAAGAGTTTGTCCAGAATGACACTGTTTGGGATGGAGGTTGTAATCTGTACCCCTACTTGTGACAGCAGTACTATGGAGATACTGTAATAATTTTCATGAAACTAATAAGACAAAAACTTGGTTGAAGAAATAAATAATGGAACTCCTTTGCTAAGTAGTATATCAATGAGGTCCAGCTTGAAGGCACCACGAGATAAGTCTGATTTTTAGTCTACAGATTCTAGCAACTGATAGATACAAACATTTAGTCATCATTATGTTGTCTAGTATAGAACATATTGGTCGCCATAGATAGGGTTTTGGTCACCAAGGTGTTAGATGATAAATGCCGATATTGACCAAGTTGTAGCCACCACTATGCAACTATCTTTATTTGCAACAAAAAGATCCTATTTGTCATAGCTACAGCTCCACGGATCATAGAGCTAGCTAGTTATCTCTGGCTCCACGAATCCGTGGAGTTAGAGCCTTAGAGGTGGGATACAGAGAGGGTGTTTGGAAGACCAACCAAAATATAGGTTTAGACACATTATTTTGAACTATAAACTACAAATCTGACATGGAGCGGGACATAGAGCTGTGCCAAAAGAACCTAAATAACAATAGCAACTAATATATAGCTGTTAGCTACAAAGGTCCGGCTCCTTGGTGATTAGTATAAAAGCCTGATTTCTTGTAGTGAGGACTCGATCCACCTTTTATTCCTTTCGGCAAGTATAGTACTTGTTACATATACGGAGTTTCTCTTCTCTCATCTAACGTTAAATTTTTTTTTCTATAGCTAGTATTCATTGCTGCAGTTTTGATTTTTTTTTTTTTACTTGGTAGGATTTTTTTTACATAACATGCCTCATATAAGTGTTGCCATGCAGGTCCAAAATAAAAGTGCCTGCAATATAGTAATTAGTATATACTCCCTCTATTTCACAAAAGTTGTCGTTTTAGCTTTACCCTTAGTCATACAATTTTATCTTTTACTATCAATTCCTATAAATTTGTATAGACGTTGAACAACATGCAAAGTATATATTATGAAATATTTCTTACGGCGAATCCAAAAACACAAATCTTATGACGTTAAACTACACGAATTTTCTGAAATTGATAGTCAATATAGAAAGACTTGACTTTTGAGAAAACTAAAACAACAACATTTTTGAAATAGAGGAAGTATAAAGATAGTTGAATAAGGATATCATATATAGCTGTGCCTTTTATAGGTAGATGAACTTTCCATTATTATATGCATTATTACAATTGTTTTTTTTTTGACAAAGTATTACAATTGGTTGGTACAGGCCCACCACTCGATAGCTTCGACAGAATGGAGAGCCCATTCATAGAGGAAGCCCAAGGTGATATAGATAGGATTATAGAGTTTCAAAGATTGGCAAAGGACTTCTGTAAGGTATATATATACACAGATTTCTCCGTACATACATGCACGCATACACGTAATTTGCAAATACAAAGCATATATGTAGTGGGGATCGGATATATATATATATATATATATATATATATATATATATATATATATATATATATATATATATATATATATATATATATATATATTAGAATAACTTATTCTATAGTCACCTCTGTTTACGATAATTTTTACATGTGTTACGATAACTCATGGGGATATTTATCATAATGTTACAGTAAATCATTTAGTAAGGAGTTACAGTAATCTCATAAATTAGTATAATAGTTATCGTAACTCAAAGTAACTATACAATAAGTTATTCTGTGACCAGCTACAGAACAGTAACACACAGCTCTCTCTCTCTATATAATGTACTGCTGTGAGCACAGGCCATTTTCGGCAAAATCTACGAAGGAGAGTGTATTCAGGAAACTCTGCAATACGCCATCAACAACTTGCCTGGCCATGAGGCGCTAATCGTCGGATGTGCAGGAGCAAACACAGCTGGGTACGTGCATGCAAAGCATACAGTGGCCCTGTTCGGATCCAGGGGTTAGAGCTAGTTTGTGCTAGTTTGAGCTCAACTAGCCCAAAAGTATCCAACCAGGAGGGCTAGAGTGGGTTATTTGCAACTAACCCATCCCAAAAAACTATCCCCCAAAAGAGGTGATTATTTGGGCTAGTTCCGGTGGGGCCCACTGAAAACTATTATTTTTTTATTACTCCACCGGTCCACCCGCACCGGATCCTCGGCACTCCCATCCCCCATCGCGAGTAGCTTCCCCCCTTCGCGACTCGCGCCGCCGCCAGTCCCAGCCGCGCCGCCGCCGCTTCAATCCGCCAAAGGAGCAGCGCCGGCGGCCCCCCGGAGGCGGATCTCTGTCGCCCGTGCCGCCTCCCTCCCTCCCGTCGCGCCCTTCCCCTCCGTCGGCGAGCGATGGACGGAGACGGATTCGACTTGTGGAGCTCGCAGCTGCCGGCGAGGCCCCGCCTGCCGCGCCGGTCTCGACCTCAACTCGCAGCGCCCGGCGGCGGAGGGGTTCCCGGGATTGGCTGCACGAAGAGACTTCTCCAGCCCGCGACGCCGAGGTCCCTTCTGGACGCGCGGGGCTCCGGCCTCCCTCCCTATCGCCCACCGCGTGCCGGAGCAGGAGACGCGTGGGCGACTCCGGCGCCCCAGCATGCCCGACAACTACTCTTTGGCGGCTCCTCCTCGGCGGCAGCCGGTCGCGGAGGAGAAACGGTGGCGGCTACACCGCAGGTCGTCGTCCGGGCGGGCGGTGGTGTTCGGCAATAATGCGAAACTCGCCGCCAGAAGCAGCCGGCGGCGCCCCCAACAAGACCAACACGGCTTCTCGTGGCAGCGGTGGCCAGGGCGTACCGCTTCCCCGAGCACCGAGGGCACCGAGGGCACCGAGGAGTGGCGTCCGTGGGCAAGCATCCGGCTCCGGCGGTACCTTCGACATTGACGATGAAGCAATGGAGGATAACGTGGAGGAGTTAGCGAGCTCCGGCGGTCCCCCGGTGAGCCATTCCAGTCGAGCCCAATGGAATGATGCAAATAATGCTTGCTTGTTAGAATTGTGCATAGAGCAACGTAGAGCAGGAACGTATAATGGTTCACAAATGAGTGGTGAAGGGTATCAAGCCGTTGTCGATGGCTTACTTGCCAGAAGAAGGTTGGTGTACACCCGTGGACAAGTGAAGAACCAAATAGGCGTACTCAAACACACCCACGCTTTCTGGCGCTACTTGCAAACGCACACAGGGTTGGGGAGGAGACCAGATGGATCCATTGATGCAGATCATGATTTATGGCTAACTCATACAGAGGTACAATATTACTTAGCATATTTTTGTGCTCTCATATGCTTGGTTACTCTATGCTTGCTTCAAATTTGATCTTACATGTTTGGTTCTGCAAAATGTGCACTTTCATCTTAGATGCCTGTAAATGCTTGGTTCTGGTTCTTACATGTTTGTGTTATCAACGAATAAAATGGATTACATCTTGGTACTGATGCACTAAGGACAATAGCTGGTGATTTTTCAGATGTCACAGGTCATTCGATTAGTTCCAGTCATTTGACAGTGTGCGTATTGAAACAAAAGTTCTTATTTCCAGGTAGCCATGTCCTGTTCTTCATGGCTGCTGCTATCTATTTGCTGGTCACAAAGCCAGTTTTATACTTTTATACATCTATATATAATTATTAAAAGAATCAAAATTTGAACCAACACTGTCAATGAATAATTTTGCGATTGCCCAACTACTGAACCAACACTGTTATTATTTCTGCATGTTTATTTCTTGATCGATTCAGCATATGAACTTTGGCCACAGGCCAGGTTTCTTGAGGCTTGTCAGGAACGAAACGTCAATTGCTTCTGAGTTGAGCTGTCCGTTCATAACTAGTTTCTCATATATTTTTCATCTTTATTGTAAACAGTTGATATTCTCCTGTCATAACTAGTTTCTAATCAACTTTTGTGCTCTCATATCTTAACAGAAAAAACCATACTTAAAGAAGCTTCGACGAGTCCTCCAAACAAACGAGGACTTGCTTGATGAACTGCTATTCAGAGGGTACCTTGTGGATGGCACCACAGCCTTTGTGCTGGTGATGATTATGGTGACAATGAGGGGCAAGATGCAAGGATGAGAAGATGATGAAGAAGAAGAGTTTGCACAAACACCTACAAGTAGAAGTGACCAGAGGAGTCGGAGGGGCAAGAGGGCATTGAACAGCACTACAAGCACTTTGACCGATCCGGTGTGAAGAGGAGCAAGAGCCCAATGGTGAAGATTGTGAAGGACATAGCCAAGTACCTTCAAAGAATCATCATGACCAACACTAAGCAAATCCGAAACGT